GTTTCCTATACAGTGTTGGAGGAATATATGTTCGCTTTCCTCAGCCGAGCTCGGGAGTTTCCTATATTGGAGGAATATACGTTCGCTTTCCACAGCCGAGCTCGGGCGTTTCCTATACAGTGTTGGAGGAATATATGTTCGCTTTCCTCAGCCGAGCTCGGGAGTTTCCTATATTGGAGGAATATACGTTCGCTTTCCTCAGCCGAGCTCGGGCGTTTCCTATACAGTGTTGGAGGAATTTATGTTCGCTTTCCTCAGCCGAGCTCGGGCGTTTCCTATACAGTGTTGGAGGAATTTATGTTCGCTATCCTCAGCCGAGCTCGGGAGTTTCCTATATTGGAGGAATATACGTTCGCTTTCCTCAGCCGAGCTCGGGCGTTTCCTATACAGTGTTGGAGGAATTTATGTTCGCTTTCCTCAGCCGAGCTCGGGCGTTTCCTATACAGTGTTGGAGGAATTTATGTTCGCTTTCCTCAGCCGAGCTCGGGCGTTTCCTATACAGTGTTGGAGGAATTTATGTTCGCTTTCCTCAGCCGAGCTCGGGCGTACCAGAAGCCGACTGACCCGATCCTGACGATGCAAAGGCTTGTGAGCCTGAAAATGAAATCGGGCTCCTGTCTCGCCACATTCATCGAGACCTTCGATAAGTACAAGAGGGAATACGAGCGTAACAGCGGTCCGTTACCACCTTCCTACTGTACCAGTCTGCTGATCACCATGTTAGCAGCACCACATCGTGAAGCTGCTCTTGGTATCCGCCGATCAAATACCAGTCTCTCCTATGAAGATCTGACCAAAGAGTTGTTGTCCGAGGAAGCCTTACGGTCCGTGAAAGAGGTGTCGACCCCATCAGAAGCATTGCCGAAGATCCCTCTCACCGAGATCTCTGCGAACTTCCGACCAAACTCCAAAAACCGTGCAGGCCAACAACAACGCCGGGGCAATAGATCCGAGCGAAGAGTCCGGTGCATCAGGTGCATGGACAAGGACCCCAACTGTAGTGGGACGGCTAAGACCTGTCCCGCCAGAATGCCACAGGACAAGTCCGACCGATGCAACCGCTGCAATCGTCCGAAGAAGTTCTGCCCAAGTACTTCCACCTGCACGCAGCGCGACGTTGTGCGGTGCGAAAGGTGCGATGCGTCAGGATCTCACCATATGGCACACTGTCTAGCCCACCTCCCCACATCAACTACGCCTTCGACCGACAAGGCTGATACGGAGATTCCTCGGGTGCAGACAAGCAACCTGACATTCGAAACCCTTTCCTTCGTGGAGTACACTGGAACCACTGCCCCGCTGGTAGATGATTCCGCCCATCTCAACCTCACCGCAGTGACGCTTCCATTCTCACCATCTAG